TGATATAGCCTATTTGGGGCGTGTTTGTTACTACTCAACGAACTCTACTCCATAAGCTTCACCGTGAAGCCTTAAAAAAAACTCCACCGTGGAGTAGCTCAAAAAAAAACCTAGACTTTTGTGAAGCTTCCCTTTAGGTATTCTCACAACTTCACATTATTTCTGGAGCAAAGCTTCATACAGCTAGATTTGTTTAGCTAAAGGGTTTTTTAAACATGGTTGTAAAAGGGAGTTAACTTTACCAAGATGCAAGTAGTGGTACTAATATAATCAAATCAACGACCACTCCAAGTACATCATTGTTCATTTTCTGTTTCTTGCCCTACCTATACCAATAGAAAGTTCATTGACTAATGTGGACAAAATAAAATAAATCTAATTGCACTTTTTAGATTTTACTCCTTGTCAACCGATACTGTATGCTACAGTACGTGAGTGTTTGTTTGAACGGGGGGAGACAAGCGCGAGCCCATGGCCATTATCAACATGTTCGCTGTTTGGTTTTTGACTGATAAGCCCGACTGATACTGATTTACTGTGAGAGAAAAATACTATATCATGATTGATAAACTCTGACTGACCAACAAGCGCACAGGTGCATGACAGAACATAGCCGTGCGGCTGTGTCTATTCGTCTTGTTTGTTTGGGCTTATTTGGCTTATAAGCCATGGTTGAAAGTACTGTTGGCTGATTTGATATAAGAGAAAAATATTATTCATTAATTGATAAGCCATAATTTATAAGCCAAATATCATCTAGTTGGGTTCCTGTGCGACTGCAAGTCTGTAACCCATCCTGCCATCCTGGTGACACACTGACGGTGACTCAGGTATAGGAAGCACTGCTGCTGTACTCGTAGAGTAGTGATCAGGTGTTGAGAATAGAGCAAATGTCTCCCCTCTTTTTCTCACTTTTAGCCTAGGTGTTTAGATTCATTTAGGGCCTAAAACGGCACATGTATGGAGTACTAAATGTAGATAAAAAAAACTAATTACATAGTTGGATGAGAAATCGCGAGACGAAACTTTCGAACCTAATTAGTCCATAATTAGACACTAATTACCAAATACAAACGAAAGTGCTACAGTTGTCAAAACCAAAAAAAATTTGCATCTAAACACACCCTTACCCAAAATATAGGCTAAAAGTGCTGAGTAAGAGTTTTGCCGAAGAAAATAAAGAGGCCCTCATGCTAAATTGCTAATCCGTTCATGGAGCATGTTCAGTTGTTTATTTAAGCGTTATCCGAGCCCGAGCAGCAGCCTTACCACCTACTGCTGCTGTACTGTGACTAGTTGCGCTGTTTCCTAGAGTTCGTTGCGTTTCCGTTGGAACAAGGGCGCACTGTTGCCATGCATGTCACCATGTAGCGTTCATCGAAACACATTTTTTTATATATAAAAAAAATTCGGTTCTGTTGTCTAGTTGAAAAAATAGCTGATACTAAAAAAAAATTATTATTTCGTTGAAACGACCGATAAGTTCGAGCGAGCAGGGCCGAAACGTTTTAAAATGTCAGCGTCAGTATTGCTGCTACTACTAGCTCCAGCGTCCAGCCACCACCAGCCTGGAGCATCGGTGGTTAGGAGGAAGTATCCACCCACCCCCTTGGCTGGCTTGGACGGCACAAGACAAACACCTGCTCTGCACGTGCTACTGTTTCTAGCTGGCCGTTTGTTCAATGTAGCACACGTTGCACAGAACCAACCCTGCTTGACTAATGACCATGCATGGCGCCATAGCCATGCCAAAGAGTGCGGAGGACGAGGCAGGCAAACCTGAGGAAAAACCCGAGAAACCTGCATGCACGAAGCTCAAGTCCCGTCCCATCCCGTCGCGCATGCGTGTGCGGGTTCCCCCTTTCCCCATCAGGTCGTCTCCCTCCCTCCGTTCACTCCAGGCCACATCGACCACACTCCACTCGTCGCTCTCGCACGCACTGCACCAGATTCGCCTCTGTTCCTGCTCTCGGTCTCATTATGCATAGCCCTGCCTTTCGGTTTTCGGTTGGCCAAAAATTCGGCACAAAACCTTCACCAGCGATTTTCTCCAGGACAGGGGAGCTGCAGCTGCTATTGCAATGCGCGTATCTTCTGTACGTTTTAGGGCTCCAAGGCGCTCTGGCTCCTCCCAGAGAATAATAACGTAGCAACATTGTCGGGCACCGTAGCGCGGAACTGTTTTGCTCCCTGAGGTAAAAAATGAACGGTGAAGAGGAAGAACCGGTGGAGCCACGATTTCTTTCTAGCTCTGCTACAGTAAAGATAAAAACAGTGCTGAAGCCGGAGTTAGGAAGAGCCGTGTCAAACGGCCCCTTAATGTGACGATAGAACCAGCTCCTTCACACTATGACACGGACTTGAGGAAGTAGGTTCTCCCATCTATCGCACTGTTCGCTTAGCTTATAAGCCGTACTTTTTCAACCAACGAACAGTATTTTTCTCTTACAAGAAATTAGCCAACTGTACTTTCAGTCATGACTTATCAGCCAAGCGAACAGGGCATATGAAACTGGGCTCCAAGAGGGGGGAAAACCATGCTTTCTCTCACCGTCTCTTTTCTTTCATGTAGTTGACGCTCCCGACGTTGAGAGGAAGTTGGAGAAGCTACAAGGGATGTCAGGTGCTACGAGGACTTCGCCCTCCCCTTCCGCCGCGCGTGCCGGTGGCACATACCGCCCCCAACAAATCCATTGCGGATGGGGAGAAAGGGTAGGAGGAGGGGCGGCGGCGACAGCTCCATTAGATCAGGCGAGGAGGAAGTCGAAGGAGGGAGGGCAAGGCACCAAGAAGGAGGGAGCGAATGAGGGCGCCCAACCGCGTGAGGAGGGAGGTGGCAAAGAGGTCCGTGCAGTGAGGAGATGTTGGGAGAACGACGAGAGACGAGTGGTGGGAGATGGGGGAGAAGAGGTGGTTGAGCGAATTATGCATTTTTTTAATACAGTCAGGGTATGGTTCTTTACTTTGTGGCAAATTTTGATCATTTTAACAGGTAAATGCACATCACTGCATAGGAACGGGTGCGGTTTTATACATTGAAGTTGCCCTTAGCCAAAAACTCGTTCAAATGCGATTATAACTCCAAGGTTTGTTTTTTGCAAATCTGTCAAGGTACTAAGGCCCTGTTTGGTAGCACTCCGAGAGCCACAATGGGAGCAGCTCCACGGTTTCGCCAACCAAAAGGGGTAGGAAGCATTGGCTCCGCTCCTTCCATGAATCTCTTCGGAGTAGAAATTGTAGGAAGCCAAAAAAGTGGCTTCATCCCGCTCCTCCATCTGGCCCGAGCCCTCCCTAAATTACCCTTCCTTCGAGCGTCCAAGGCACGTTCGGCAGGGCAAAGTCGTGCGCGGAGTCACGAGGCAGGGCGAATGTAACACCCCGGCTCAGGGCTTAATAGGATTAATAGGATACTCGTACCAACAAGTTACAACTTCTTTTCTGGAAGCCCATCTCTTAAGAACTCCAAGGTTAAGCGTGCTTCGCCTGGAGCGATGGGTGACCGACCGGGAAGTTCTTCCCGGGTACGCACGAGTGAGGACAAAGTGCGTAGAAAAGACAAGTGTTGGTCTGTGAAGGCAGTCTATATCCTAGTTAAGCTGCCAGATATAAGCGGGCCCAGCCTCGGAGAGGTGGGACGTTACAGCGAAGTTGCGTCGAACCGAACCATCGGACCTAAGTCGAAGTCTCGATGTGTGACAACGGACCACACCGTTCGGGCGAGGTCGAAGTCTCGGCAAAAGGGTGGTGGCACGAGTGGAGAGAGTAGGCGGAGTCGAAGAAAGTGGGTGTGGCAGCATTGGATTCAAAGAAACGGAGGACAGGCGGATGAAGAAGACAAGGGGAAATACAGAAATAGGGAGAGAATAAGTAAAGGAAGATAAAAGGAAAAAAGATATTATGGATATTTCACCATTTTTATGTGCCATAAGCTGCTGCCTCTACCGGTAAAGCAGAGCTGCGCCAAACACGCCCTAAATCTGATCAAGCAGAAGTGCCGCCTAGTAGCAGTAAGTAAAAACAGAGGATAAATAAACCGAGGTAAATATGCCTGGTAATTACTTCTCCATTTCTTTGTCGGCTACCTTCTGCTGTTCTACTACAAGGGAGTGCCGCATGCCTGTATCCATGACAAGAGCTGGATGCAGCAAAGCTGGATGCAGCACACGGGCCCAAGGAGTGCCGCATGCCTGCATCCATGACAAGAGGCATTGGCAAAATAGGACACAGAGAGGGCCAGAGGGGATGGTCTCTCATCTCTGGCTCTCAAGGAGGTGATTCCACTTTGGAGGTTCTCTCTTCTCTGCACTGCACCCGTGAGTGCTCTGCTCCCTGGTCCCAGCAAGCAGTACCCCCCCTCTCACCTCATCACTTTTTTTCCTCCTGCTCTGTCTGGCTTTTGTCCAGGACTAGGAGAGTACAGTACCCTCTATTTTCTTTCTTTTGGATGTCTGTATGCAGCCACGTCACTTCACTACAACTGGCTGCCAGGAGTAGAGTTTACACCATCTACTACGGTTTTTAATTACCAGTATCATCATAACAGTGAGATCCATGCCACAAACGAGCATACGACGAGATGGACCTTTCATCGTCTCCTTGATACTGGTAGGAGCTACTAAACGACTAGTCTACTATTATTTATGACTAGTACTTACTTAACTATCATATACTTATTATAGGCCTAGAGCTAAAACAACCTAGACTTGTTTCTTCTGTTGCTGTTGCTGTTCCCTTCACTCTGAAGAAGATACACCTCCAAAGTATTTGTTGAAGCTTTTCTACGCTTGACTTGATGGGGCCATCATAGTCCCCTGCACACAGCACATGAATGAATAGACAATTATAACCATCAGGATTCAGGAGGGTTAGTGGAGGCTAATTTTATACAGTATGCATCATGATTGAGCAGCTGATTGTTACAGCACTCTAAAAAAGACAGACAAGTTCTGTTGATACTTACTCCCAGATTAGAGGAAAGGAGACCCCTTTTTGCTCTCTATTCACAGCCCAATGGCTTCATGCCCAGGAGAAAACCTGAAGAAGAAACAGATGTAAAACAATCTTTCTTACCACATGAACTGTAACTTCTTTTAGATAATAAGTAACACCCCTGTGTAGAAAATCCTTTTCTAGCCCAAAGCTACATGAGGTGAGCCCATATATACATAGCAGCTCTATTACACATTTATAACTACTACCAATGTACTGGCACTAAACAGGTTTGCCCTACCTTATCTAGAGTTCTAGACTAGTACCAATGTAGCACTAATTGGACCACCACAAAATACTTAAGGCACACAAGCCAAGACTACTACACACACCAATGAACAAAGGTATATACAAATGATCATGGTTTTCAAACTAGTAACTAGTATGAAAGATTTAAGTTACTGAGAATGTTTACCTGGGCACCTGAAAAAAGCAGGAGCTGTATGGGGGCAGCTCAAGGGTGGATGCAGCTGGGAAAAGGGATGAAGCCACAAGATGAGGGCTGCTGTTGCTGATGCTACCATTCTGAGCAGTTGCAGTAGTAATAGTATCAATGGAGGCCTTGGTGGGGGATGCAAAGGGGCTGTCAGGCAGAATGTGCTCCACCACGCCACTACAATTCAAACGAGCAAGAAACGTATCAGTCCCGAATGGAAAAGATCAAGACCAAACCCAAAAGAAAGGGGACAACTTGCACCAAGATACTGCTTAACAATAGCCATTAGTTTGTGGTCATAAGTATCTTTTCTCCTTTCCCCTACACCCTTTGACAGTGCATTTCTTTTCCCCTTTTGTTACTTTCAATCATGACCACCTATGATTAGCTCCATGCCAGAGAATAAACAGAGCACATAGACAAAAGGCATGCTTGATTCCTATCACAGATTGGCACCCCCTCTTTGTCAAACCATATAACCATGCATAACAGCATAAGGTAAAGCAGCAATTTGTTCTATACTCCTACCATGCAATTCTTTTTAGTCCAGGTGTGGCAAAAGTGTAGCAGAAGCATTCATCCAAGCAAGAAACTGTGGCGTGCCCTTGCTAAGAAAACTATGGCTTTGCCTATAGTTATATATTTATCAGCCACAAACATGCCCAAAGAAAACAAATGCCAAGGCACTCTGCTTTGTTTCTCCATGCTGCCTTTTTTTCCCATCCCTTTCCCCAAAAAGAAAGAAATATCAGTGCCCATTTTGCAAATATTTTACTCCACAACAACAATCTTACCTTTCTTGGAATCCACAAGCAGCATTGGGTGTTGCTGTCACAGGACCAGATTCCACCTTCTCCTCTTCCCCAGGGTTGACAGCCTGCTTGGGGCTGCCATCACCACCCTCTCCCTGCTGCTCCTCGTGCTTGCCTTCTGCATCAGCAGTTGCAGAGGCAGCAGCAGGAGCACTCATTGCAAGGCTAGTACTGCTCATCTTCTTATCTGCAATCAGGAAAGCACGGATTCAAAACCCACAACCCTGCACTGTACAGTACTGTAAGAGCCAAGAACTTGTCAGGGTCAAGGAGTGGACCTTGGATGCCGGTGACATCCTCCAAATGGGCGGCATTGCCATTCCCGTTGTTGCCGCTGCCTTTGCCACCAGCTTGCCCCAGAGACATGGGCGAGCCTGAACTAACGGGGGAGCCGAGCCCGAGATGGTGACCCCTGCTCTTGAGGTCAAGGAGCTGCAGCCCCATGAAGCGGCGCCCCTCCAGCTCAATGGCTTGCTGCAGCTCGGCCGCCTGCTGCTGCTCCTCCAGCTTCCTCCTCAGGAACGCCTCATGGTTAGCCATGTTCCCGTACATCATCCTTGGTCCTAAACAACCCCAAAACCAGCATGTTAGATTGAATAAAACACATGCAATCTGCAGCAACAGAATGGAATGTTGGAAGACAAGAACACATGCAGGCAGTGCAGGTGCAGGTGCACCTTCAGTTACTACTCACCGATCTGGGGCTGCTGGAGATCGTAGGGGTCCCTGGAATCCAACAATCCGGTGGGCGACGTGCAACCGGCGAACTCGGCGCCATGGTGCGCGTGCTGCGGCTTCCTGCAACCAAACAAAACGATAAATAAAGCGAGGAAAAAAAAAGTTTTTTTAAGGTATGAACCGAACAAAAGCTGTTGAAACAAACAAGCAACCTGCGTGCAGTGCAATGTGAAGAAGGATGGATGAGGATTAGATGCAGTGCAGGCAAGGCAAGGGAGAAGGAACGGACCTGAACCTGTCGGGGACCTTGCCCTTCTCCTTGTAGGGCTTGACGAGCACGCGCGCGTCGCACACGAAATGCGGGTTGCCCTTGCTGAGGATGACCTTCACCGTCTCGGCGTAGACGAAGGTGACGAAGCCGAACATGCGCTTCTGCTGGTACGGGATGCGCACGTCCTGCACCGGCCCGAACATGCTGCTCGATCCATGGCAACCAGGACGATCAGTCGGTTTCGCTCGCCCATTATTGGACTGCTAGTGGAAACGAAACAGAACGGAGCAGAGCGGAGCAGAGGCCAATAATGGCGGCGTGCTGTGCTGGGTACCTGAAGTAGTTGGACACGTCCTCCTCGCTGAAGGTGGAGTCGGCCGGGAAGGTGAGGTAGATCTGCCGCGCGGCGGGGCTGGCGATGAGGTCGCCGCGGTCCATCCGTGGGGAGCGCACCGGGAACCTGTGCATGTCGTCGCCGCCGAGCAGCATGCCCGCCGCCGCCGCCGCCCTGGAGCAGCAAACACGCAGAAAATAAAATGGGCATGAGACCGGAACCAAAATGCAAACCTTTAGTGGCGCGGCGGGGTAAAAATGGCACCTTTGGGTCTCGCTCTGCTGCTGATGCTGCTGGAGCAGGAAGCTGAGGCTGACGCCTCCTTTGGGCGACGGCGAGAAGGGGTACGCGGACGCCATGAGCTGCGGCGGCGCGGCGGCCAGGGCCTTGGCGCGCATGACGGCCATCTCCCGCTCCGCGGCGTCGTCCTCGGGCACGCCGTGGAGGAAGCGGCAGGAGGAGCCGTTCTTGCAGTACCCGCGCGCGTAGTACATGCACGGCCTCCACGACGCGGCCGCCGCCTCGGCGTCGCTGAGCGAGAAGCTCCGGCGGTGGGCGCCGGCACCGCCCGCGGGGGACCAGACGTCGTAGTCGTCGGCGTAGAACGCGTCGGCGCCGCCGTCGTACCCGAGCTGGTCGGCGGCGAAGGGCGAGTGGCGGTGGTGGTCGGCGCCGGGGCTCGGGAGGCCCCAGGGCGGGCCGGTCTGGAGCGGGCCGAGCACGGGCGACGGCGGGGACGCGGGCTTGCCGGCGAGCTCGACGCGCGCGGTGGCGACGAAGGCGTGGAGCAGGTGCTCCGGGCCGAAGGCGAGGCGGATGAGCTCCTTGTCGCTGTTGTCCTGGATGAGCAGCAGACCCATCATCTTGGAGGCGTTCTCCGGGTCCAGCGCCCGCACCCGGTCGAACACCACCTTGGTGGCCTCCCAGGCGTCCATGGCGTGCTCGGATCGCAGGACAGGAGCGGAGCGGAGCGGAGCAGTCCGCTCTTATCAGGTGGGGGTATGCTGCTCTCAAGGGGCAGCGGAGGAGGAAGGGGAGGGGAGGTGAAAAGCGGCGGAGTTTTACAGAGAGGGAGGGGGAGGAGCGGGGTGCGGTGTGGGGGCACGCTTGTAAAAAAGCTCTGGACAGCAGCACAGTGAATTAAATAGGCTGCTGCTGGCTGGGCTTTGGGTTGTAGGCGAGTTGGACTGTTGGAGACGATGCAGACGAAAAGTGAGCTCTCCTTCAGTTTCCCTCCATCAACGTTTGGTGAGCAAATTGGCGCTTGTTTTACTTTTGCTTTGCTTGCGTGACAAGGAGTGAAGAACTAAGAGCCAAGAGAGAGACACCTCGGTTTCAAACTCGGGTTGAGTGATCATGGTGTGTTCAAATTTACTCTAGGTGTTAAAAGTTGGACATAGAGTACCAAGTTTTGGTTTTGATCGATTTTTGTATTATCAAGTTTTGGTAATGTAGATTGTAAGCTAGTAGTAGAAGTAGTATCGCTTACACAAAACACTCCGTGCGCGCATAAGACTTTGAAATTGAAATCGGCGATGTGGTTCTATACATTGAAATCAGCGGGGTGTGGTTTTGTCTGGCAGTCGTAATTGCCCCGCGTTACCTGTCAATTTGGCGTATACGGCTTGAAATCGGCAACGAAAAAAACCGAGATGTGGTTCTACAGATTGTAAAATACTCCGTATTAGTAGTAGTATTGTTTGACCCAACCCAGAACACTTCATCCGTGCTAAGAGCTGGAAATTTAAATCGGCCATGAAAAAGCGAGCTGTGGTTGTATCTGGCAGTCGGCCTGTTCGCTTGCTCGTAAACGATCGTAAATTTCCAGCCAGCAACAGTGTTTTTCTCTCACACCAAACCAGCCAGCAGTAAATAATCCACGATACGATACGGCCTCCCGAACAGGCTGCTAATTGCTCGACATTACCTGACTACCTATCGATTGGCTGGTTCGTTTCGTTGCTGGTTTGTGAAGAAGTATCGTTGGTTGGTTTTTGTGAGAGAAAAATACTGTTCCGGCTGAAAATTTACGATCGTTTACGACAAGCCACGGCCAAACGAACATGTTGGCATATACGACTTGAATTTGACTAGTCACATGCTTTTCATGCATTGTCGTGGCTGCAAGTTGGCATGTATAGCTTGGCTCTGAGCAATCTACAACTATTTGTTTGTAGGAGTAGAAAGGGTATCCTGAGAAAAAGTGCAATAAATTAGAGAGTTGGCGAGGATTTTGTCGCGAAATGGGATCCGAGGTAGGTGAAATATAGACGGCTACGCCTCGTGATGTTAGGTGGTATTAGTACTCGCCTCATAATGTGAATAAAGACATTAGTGGTTACCAATTCTCGTATAAATGGAATCTATATATGTAAGATTTTTGTGTATTATTTTTCTTATTACCTCAACCATACGTTAAGTGGTAAACAACCATGGATCCGGATAACCCAAAGTGTAACGAGTTGGAGCCTTTTTTCCACAGTTATATAATTTCCTTTGCCTAAAGTCATCCATAGGAAGCTCTTGCCAAGCCTCACATCTTTTCCCCATGGAAAATACATGATAATATGCATATGGCCTTATAACCATGTGTAGCCTTTTTAGTAGGAACTGCATGCTAACAAATACACTAAGGTCCTGTTTGACAGAGCTTCACTTCACTAGTGAAGCCATTTTTTGGCTTCAGCTCCACAAACAGCTCCACCAGTGGAGCTGAAGCGGTTTTGGTAAACCATTTGGCAAAATGGCTTCCCTGTGAAAGCATGTTTTTAGGGGCCTGGAGGAGGAGCCGGGAGAAGCCACTTTTTTTTTTTGCTCCATCCCACCCCAAATCACTGCGAGAGCATGTTTTTAAGGGCTTCACCAGTGAAGCTATTTCACTTTACCCCGTTTGGCAGAAAACGGCTCCTAACGGCTCCTGAAGCCGGTGGAGAAACCCTGCCAAACAGGGCCTAATAACTTATGCCACCTTCTTATGTTCGACATCATGTTTTACTTTTTTTCATGGTAGAGTGAGTTTAAACTAAGTAAACATTGCATGATTCACATTGTATGTGACCCATTATTAGAATTTGGAATCCATTCTTCATGATTGAACGGTTGAATGTGAAAACATACATGAGGCTACCACCTCATGCCTTACAGCCATTTTCCTTATCCATAGGATCTATTTGCCAATGAACACTAGATGCTATGATGCCTCCTTTTGTTCAACAACATACTTACACATGTTTTCTGTATAGTGAGTTTAAGTAACTGAAGTATGCTTTACATTATTTGCTACCATTTTTTGAATTCTGAATTCATATATAGTGCTAAATGTGAAAAAAGAGTTATGCTACCACCGCATCTACCATTACATACACAATGGCAGAGCACATGAATCCAACCCGCCATGTTGTTTATCGAGCTCCAGTATTCTTTCATTTTTTAATGCTTTCCCCACAATTATATATTTCATTATTACCTAGATATACTGAAGTGATGTTGAATTGTTTCAACCGAAACCATGTAGAAAAATCCCATGTCAATTTACCATAAAGAAAATTAGAGTTTAAATATTGTGCAGTCACGAATATTAAATTTAACTAGAACAAAGCCAGACCATTTGCATTCTAGGCACTCGTTGAACAGAATAACCTTGAGTGCAAGTAAGTGGCAAATCAGAGGCAAGAGAGAAGATATAGTGAGAAGATATAGTGATTCAGAACTTCGGCTGAGGGGGATCATACAGGGTGTTCAGTTTTTGGTATTAATATCTGCCTAACAATCAATTTTGTGTCAACTAAGTTTTGCAAATCTAAAATATGAAACCACGGGCATGGTGCTTCTGGTTTTTCTCTTTGGTATTTTATAGTTGTCATTATTCTTTGGTGTTTTGTAGTTATATGTATGATTACCTAACGTTGCTCCGAGTTGGCGTATATGACCTGGTTTTGAGTAGTCTACAACCTTTTTCGTGGGTTACTCTAGTTAGTTGGTGTATGTATGTGACATGGCTGAGGCTCTCTTTGGACCATAGGGAAAACAAAAGAAAAATTGTAGAATTCTCATTCCTCTAGATTGAGTTACTATAGCATCCTTTAGTTCACAAGAATTACCTAAAGGAAAAACATAGTGCATACGAAACCTTCCTTTATATTTGATTTCATAGGAAAACATGAGAAAAAAACCTTATTTTTCTTGTTTCCTGTGTTTTTTTTCTGCAGTTGATATAAACACTTATTCCTACGAAAGATTTCATTTGGAACGCAGGAGAAAAAAATATGAAAAACACATGAGCAGGATAGGAATGCGAATGCAAAACAGAGAAATGAAATACAAATGAATTTAGAACGGAGAGTAATAATGATCATCTTTTGATGTTTAGTAGTAGTTATGATTACCTAACGTTGCTATTAGTTGGGCGTATATGGATTTGTTTTGAGTAGTAGTCTACAGCCTTTTTCGTGCGTTACTAATAGTTGGCGTAGGCGTGTGACATGGCTCAGCCACGGTTCGAGCAACCTACGGCCTTTTCTTCGTGCAAGTACAAATTAGCATATGGTCAGAAATCAAGTATAGGAATGGCCGCCCCGGGGCACACAAATGCAGACTAACACTCTCAGTGGTTCTAGTATAAATAGAGTGATCCATATAGACTATGAAATATTAAAACTATTATTCACACAATGCAAACTATCATTACATGTGGTTTGTAAAGAAACTTTTTCATTTTATCATACTCACCTTTTATTTCCTCTCCCTCTTCTCTTTTAGCATGGACCACCTTCTCTCTCTAGACATATATAGCTTTTGCAAGCCACTATGACAAATGTAGAGCACCTAATTTTTTTATCCGATCCTGCGTGTCACTTGGGGCATTAAGTAAAAGCCTGGCGTTGGAGAAGGCCTTAGGAGCTACATGTTAAAAAACAATCTGCCTTTAGTGACATCGGTATTCGGCCTGTTCGGTTGGCTGATTCGTATCGTTGCTGGTTCGTTTATACGAGAGAGAAGTGCTGCTGGCTGGTTCATGTGAATAGTATCCATGTGAGGGGGCTGGCCAGTCAGCCCCAGCCGATCGGGCTGATTGTGTCTTGTGTGGAATGCTTGTTCTTCTCTTCTCCTGGAACACACGAAAGTTAAGAAATCTAAGGGTTCCTTTTTGTTCGAGGATGACGTTGGATGAGGTATGGCGATTCATGAATGTTGGGATAAGGATATCCATGATGTATATTTGGTTGGATGGATGGGATGAGTCATTTTTCTGTTTGGGTGGATCGATGAAAATGGATGGGATAAGAATAGTTCACTAATTATATCTATTATTTAAAAACAATAACAACTAATTAGGCCGTGATAAATATGCATTAATCCTAATTTTATCATGATAATCACTAATTTAAAATTAAATATGTTAATTAGCACCACTAATATCCTAATTAGCACACGAAACATGCACTAATTGCTGTCATCACTGCGCGCTTTGTACCGTTGTGCGAAAGCAAGGATGCATGCATGCCATTGCCACCTTTCTTCTCTACACTACACACTACCACTGCCACTGGTGCCAAGTACCGAGCAGAGCAATTGCTTTGCTTGCTCCTATCCTACCATCAAAACCAGTACTACTCCAGTAGTAGAGAGTGTGTGTGTGTGTATATATATATATATATATATATATATATATATATATATATATATATATATATATATATATATATATATATATATATATATATATATATATATATATATGAGCTAAACTTTAGTAGCTACTAAACGATTTAGTCATTTTTAGTAACTCCAGAGTTAATAGAGAGGACTAAAGCCCTTTTAATAGGTTTTAGTCATAGTATTTAGTTACTAAAATAACTAAAAACTACTAAATTTAGTAGCTACTAGGCGAACCAAACAGGCCCATACTAGCTAGCACTATACCATGGCATCGAGC